TTCGCGCAGCGTGGTCGAACGATTGTCGGGTTGAGATCGATTCTTCCTTCCTTTCTTTCTTCCTTCCTTTCTTTCTTTCTTTCTTTCTTTCTTCCTTTCTTTCTTTCTTCCTTTCTTTCTTTCTTCCTTTCTTTCTTTCTTTCTTTCTTTCTTTCTTTCTTTCTTTCGGCAGAAAATCTTATTCGCCGCGAGTGGAAGGAAAGGAGAGGTCCGTCATTCCTTTGCCGATGAACGATCGACCGTTAATCCAATAGGCGTGCTGCTGGCCGTTAATCTTTGGGTCCCGAAACCTCGTTGCGCGTATCACCTCGAACAATCTAATCTCCCCGAGATTACCCGCCTATCTGTTTCAGAGTTAAGGATTACACACCACCGTGCAATTTAAGACGCATCAAGTACAACGATCACGGGATTCTATTAAACGAGGAGGTTTGTTCTTCCACCAGAGACAACGTATATAATATATATATATATATAAAGAGAGAGAGAGAGAGAGAGTTGTATTTATTTAGGCGTTGTATCAGGGAGACTGACTATATAGAGCGCGTAACTGGCGTGACAAACGGAATTATTATGCGAGGACGAACACCTCTGCCGAGATACGCAACGACTGCCGGAACTAATTGAGTGTACCGACGACGAACTGAGACAGTGTTTCGAGGGATTACTTCGAGAATAATCGCGAGGCCCGGCGAAATTGCGAATTCGCGGAATCGCGTTGCGGTCGCGCGATCGAAATACATACGTAACCTCCGTTTGGAAATAATGCGAGGAACGTGTAAGATCACGCCACTTCTTCTGCTTCTTATAGTTATTATAGAAGAGATAAATTGTGTTCCCTCCTCTTGTTTCGAAATTATTTTCCATTTTCTTGGTTTATCGTACGATGAATATATTATTTTATTATCTCCATTCGAATTTGAAACAAGAATGATGATGATGATGATAATAATAATAATAATAATAATAATAATAAAAATAATTTCGCGAATAACACGAGAAGGTTACGCCATCTTATTCCAGCAAGTTATTTATCTATTCGAATTTGAGAAATAACGATAATAAAAAATAAGCTCGATACGAGAAACGCGAACCTATTTCCCTAATTATATTGTTTCCGATTTGAAATTTATTCGAGTTTCTATTATTTCGATTCGAAATTTTATTGCGAGATCTCGCACGAAGTTTACGCCATTTTCCTCTCTATTATATATCAATACAGTTTCTTTCTATTTGAATTTCAAATTTACCTTGGAAACGTAAATGAAAAATAACAAATAAAGTTTCGCTTCGAGCCACTTTCGATACTCGCCTCGTTATTCGCGAAATTTCCAACGAAATTCGTTCGAGAATCCCCCAAAAATTTATTAAATTACGATACGATTTTCTTTTCCTTTTTTCTTTTTCCTTCAAATTCAACTCGTAACTCGTAACTCCCTTTCCCCCCTAACCCCTTTATCCTCCGCTGCCGCTGCTACGCTTCCATCCGCCA